GTTCTCTTTATAGCTATTATAAAATTGTCGTCTCCGCGTCGATTATTTAATAATAATAATTTGAAACTAGGACGGAGGCAGAACATATTACAAAAAATGTGTTATCTACGCATGCATCTACGCAAGCGTCACCACTAGCCAATTAGGACATGTTTCAAAATATTGAACGTTTTCGTTCCCTTCTTGTCAAAATACTACAGGTAATGATGGAAATAAGCTAAAAGACTACAACTATAAGGAAAAGAAGTTCAGAAAAACATCACTCCAATTATGTGTAGAAGTGACACAAAAAAATAGATGTGAAGAATCAAGAAAACAGCATGCAAATCCAATAAGTGACAAAAACGTAGTGACAAGAAAAAGAGAGAAATATCAAGAGATCAAGGGATCTATTTCGCACCTTCACGACGAACAGTGCCAAATAACTGCAAAGACAACACATTCTCCTTCTGAACACAAAGCTCAGGGTGCAACTTACGTATGTACAAAGCTTCCAACATGGCAAGATGTAACAAAGACCTACCACGCGACAAAACAGAGAATACATCATCGGAATACCACTCACGACAACTAGCACTGCCCAACAAGTGACACTTGATTGCCGAGGTAAATTTTCCGTGACCCGACGACTCGGCCGTTGTCACCTCCGATCCTGCCCCTTGCGAATCTCTCCCATTACGCCCTGCGTCCCTACAATTCCGATTGCCTCGGTCGACATCAGTGTGCTGCTCCACGTCCAGTCTGTCCTGCTTCCGTGGTCTACCTCGTTTCTTCACATTAACCGTTGTTGTCACTTCCAGTATTGGTTCTTTTGATTCCTCATCAATTCGTCTCCTCAATTGGCTTCTGGTGACTCGTCCGGGGCTCGATTGTTCAGATGTCAGTTTCGGTGGTTTCCGTATCCGTCTCTTCTTCTTGTTGACTGTTGTTCGGGTTGGCTCCAGCCCTGCGCCCGACGAAAAGGAGGAAGGGTTGGCAAGCGTATCCACTGCGGAATTGGACAAGTCCACCTCAGACACAGACTGCACTGGACACTTTGGTGGACGACCAAGTCGAGGCCGAGAACCACGTGCAGCTACAGGGACAAGATTCAACGGTACATGTTGACGAATCCGTGCGCCCAGGTGCTGAAAGGTTCTACCTACGTACCGACATCACCGGAACCGACATCTGAACAATCGAGCACCGGACGAGTCACCAGAAGCCAATTGGTACTCGCCAAAACATGGTACAATACAAAGAGCTGGGTGCTGCATGTTCCACACATGTAGCGACTCTCACGCAGTCGATTGTTTCCGTCGCACAGCACACACTTGCGAGATTTTCTCAAAACCGGTTATACTTGTCTTGAGGAATCCAGCTATACCTTAAAAACGGATATATTCGTCCTTCGTCCTCAAAGGATTAAAAGAAGAAAGCAGGAAATATGAACTAAAATTGTGGTGTAACGGTAGAGCAAGGCTGTGTTATTGCCAAACTGTGTCAAACGCCTTGGCACGATCGAAGAAGCAAATGCCCATGTGAAACGTTTCTGCTCTTGCTCCGATAATGTCCTGTACAAGGCGAGTCAGCTGCAGTGAAGTCGAGTCTCCACGACGAAAGCCGGACTGAGCAGGATGAATGGCAGGGGCAACATGGCTATATAACTGATCATTAAATCGTTCACATAATTTTGAAATGTAGGATAAGAGAGAGATCTGCCTGTAATTTCCGGGGAGTAGCTTTACTACCTTTGCCCTTAAATATCGGCGTTATTTTGGCCACGTTCCATGCCAATGGAAACTTCCCTGTTCTGAAAGACAAATTAAATAGAAGACATAGAGGATATGATAATGATGGTGCTAGAGCCTTAACGACTTCATTGGAGATGCCATCCATACCAGGCGATTTGTTAAGCGTAAGCTTCGCAATAGCTTTGCGCACTCCAGCTGTGGTTATTATCGGAGCACGAAACGCATTCGGGAGGCAAGGGTGTTGGTCTAAGAACGGCAATGGTATGCTTTGGTCGTCAACAACCGCCACTGATGCAAATTGCTCGTTCAAAGCTGCAGCTTTAGCTGCAGGGTCTGTTGCCAACTTTCCATTTGTTGCAAGGTCCGTTATCCCAGGGCTATTTCCCAACGATCTCTGCATGCGAATGAATTGATGCAATGACTGGTGATTACTGGTATCGGAAATCAGTACCTGCAGTTTTCGGATATACTCCCGGTGACATTTCCGGGACAGCGACCTCACAATATTTCGTTGCTTTTTTATACAGATATATGTTGACAGGACTTGGGTACTTCCTACTCCGACTGTGAAGTTTCGTCTTGTGACGGATAGCACCTTTCAATTCCGTATCAATCCAGGGTGTAAGTTGTTTCGACAGGCGTGATCTCCCTGTATCCCTGACGGAGCCAGGCTCAGAGTGCTGGGTTTAAATGTGCTGCGTAAAGATGCGCTCTAGAACAGTCTGAATATTTGCAAGTGATTCGGCCACATCTGACGAAACAACCGCATACCAGGCAACTGCCGCTAGATCATCATTTATACCCGCCCACATCGCAGGTGTCACTCTCTTAAAATTGTACTTGCGGGCAGAAGATGACTGCACCCAATCCCTGGATGAAGCTCAAGAGGGAAGCGGGTCCATGGGGATATCAAACTGGCATGAAACGAGGAGGTGATCCGATGCACCAAGAGCACAGGCTGTGTCTATGGACGACACTAGTTTACTATGATTACTGGAGATGAGGTCCGAGCATGCCTGGTTGCCTGAAGGTGCGGTGTGCGTGTTTGTGGCGACCAGTTGTTGAAGACCAAAGCAGCCAAACCCTCGTTGTATCGCAGCACCAGCAGGACATGTATGGTCTGTTGCGCACCAGAGGATGTTGTTTCCATTCAAATCTCCAGCGATGATGACGTGAGAGGACGATACCGGAATCATCCTGAGAGAATCACCAATCATGTCGCAGTAGCGAATTATATCCAAGCTCCTGGTTGAAGACGGTCAATACGTACAGCAAACGACAATTGGTTCAGTACGGCTTGACCTGGGCGTGAGCTGGACCCATACAGCCTCACACATAGCACGGAGTAGATCTGGGCGATATCGTATGGATCTAAAACGGTGTTCTAGAACAAGGATTGCAACACCACAGTATGCCTGGGAGGTGGTGCCAGACTTGTTCTCACAAGGCGGTCAGTCTCGCCGATAGGTTAGGTATCCCGGAATATAGTAGGGTATGGTAAGCTCTAACCAAGTTTCAGTTAAGTAAATCACATCATGGTGGTGTTGTTAGACGATTACGGACAATTCAGCATATTTATTCACAATTGAACGGCAGTTTGTTGTATACCATAGGAGCTTCTCGAAGCTAGTCTCCTTCACTTGCTCGGCTGGTTGCCGCAGAGGAGCATACGGCCTGGCATTGGGGTTAAGGTTAGAACATTCACGGGATTCGGGGAAGAAGAAGAATGGAGAGGCATGTGGGTTCAATGAAGCCACGGGAGGAGAGAGCAGTCACTGAACAGCGATGTCCGCAGACACCCCCACCCCATCACTGAACCTCCATGGCCGAACAGCATGCTGAATAGTCTCCGGCGACAAACAGTCACCCATCACCAGATTGGTGGTATCCTCAGTTACGGTTAGTCTCGCGTAGGAGGTGCCAAAGTACCGCGATGTGGCTACAGAGCATGCAAGCACCTCGACATCTCACTCTTTACACCAGTTGACAATATATTTCGCCTCATAGCCAGGAGTGATATTGCCGATTAAGAATAGCTTCCTCCGGGTTCGCACAGCTCCGGTTAGCACGTTCGGAGAGGTATTAACGGGTGTGGGATTTTGATAGGCAGAAGTGACCGTCCTGGTCAGGGCCTCATTATGGGTGGTTGAAGCGGCAGCAGTCGGGGCTGTGTCAAGCTTGTTGCGATGTCGCCGCCGATTGACCTTCCACCAACCGGAAGCAGTAGAACTACCGGCCCCAGGACCAGTACGAACAGAGTCAGGACGAGCAGATGCAACAGCAGCAGCACAAGAACCCACCGTCCCCTGCAGAACAGCGCTATGCGGAGTCTGAACTCGAGAGCAGGACGCCACCGGCAGAGGCCTATAAATGGCTGGCGTGGTTAGGAAGCAGGCTCCTGCACATGAATGCAAGATTCAGACTCTGAGGCGTAAACCTCTTCCTTAAGAGATCCAAGTGAAGCAAGACGGAGAGCCTGTACTTCACTCCGGAGTGGTATGACCCATGAGTCCAGAATTGCTACACCAGAAGTCTCCCGTCGCCTATCAGCTCTCATAGCCACTAGCTCAGCTGAAACGCAACCCACATCATGCACCAATTCATCAAATTTGCCAGGGGCGACGCTATCAAGACCGGACTGCACAAGGGACGGCAAAACACCAATACCAGCTTTCCGACATACATATAACTGGAGTCGCGTTCTTTGTGAGCCTCTTCAACAGGCTTGCTTATGTTCTCATACGCTTGGGAATTGGTAGTAGACACTGGTGCGAATTAGAATTTGGTTCCCTAGCCGCCTTAGAAGTGGGCATGTTCTGCTCGCACCATCGACGTACTTGTAGTATAATTGGATATTGTGGTCCCTCAAGTCACGCAAGTCCTTAAATTAATTATGTTTATACGAACAAATTGAGGGTATTGTTCGCTTGTTTCGCTTCCCCAGATACACAGACATGTTTCCCTTCTCGACTTACCACACAGTTCGACTCTTAATAAAAAGGAAGAATGATTAACTAATACTGACTCCAAAAAGTACCAGGCTTTTTAGCGGGTGCAATGAAGTCCGAGGTCAGTTGCATTCCGCACCGTTCCAAGATGTGCGAGGTGCCCAGAAGGTTTTCCTGGAATACTGGCTATAGAGGGGCTACGCATAAGCGCCTTATCTCACTTTGAAGTCGTTTCCATGCCGCCACCACTTCTAGGTCTCCAATTGTAAATCAACAATGTCATCTACATGTGTCGTGACTGTGTCTTTTGTTGTACCAGAAAACTGGTACTCCTGCAATTGCACAGCGGATCAAACAACGGGATGCATGCAGACACTCTACATTTCAACGCCTAAGAATTTCGATGGTGCTGCTGCAGAGTGCGCCACTAGAAGCAGCATTTTGGCAAATATCCAGAATATGGACCACAAAGAATGCGCTATATCTCTGTTAGGACCCCGAAACGGTCAATGCAACAGTACAAGCTGTCGGGGATCCTGCAAGGCCAACACTTGCAATGTCTGGGTTGCACTGAAAAAAATGAACTCGAAATGGAAATGGCTGTCACCTGTTCAAATTGTGGCACGTAACATCACCTGGATAAACAATGAACCCAATACAAAAGGAGGATTCCGATGCGTCTATTACTCGCCAGAACATGGCAGGTTTGAAAATGAACGTTGTCAGTTAAAGAAAAGTTTCTACTGCCAAAGATACATACCGAGTGGTAAGAATGTACTCTGGAACTGATGCACTTGCAATTTGACCAGAGCGGGACTTTGTCACTTGATTCGGCTGGATGACCCCAAAATACAGACAAATTGTCAGGGATTACAACACTAGTGGTTTGCGTGCTAATGTTTCAAAAGAAGGATCTAGGGGAGGGGGGGAGAGGGACTGTGTTCGAACTCAGGGATTATTAGGCCGCGGTCACACCAAGCGCGATTCAGCCATACAGCTGAAAAAGCGCTTTTTAACGTCAGCGTTGCTACAGAAACGGCTGAATGTTCTGCTTAAGCCGTTCTCAGCAGGCAGTGGTTTTGGAAGCGCTAGATGTAGCAGTGGATGGAGCGCTGAATTGAGTCAGGCACTCTCAGCCAGTCAGGCGCAGTGGCGGGTAAAACAAACTCGTGCAAATCACAAGCGTATCTTGCCATCGTGGCATCATGTTCTGAAATATTCCCGCTTTCGTTGTTTCTTTTGTTGTCGGTCCAACTTCTCTCATTGTCTGCTGCCTGTTTTTGTCCTCATCTTTCCTTGTGCGTTTTCCCCGAAGTACGATTTTTTTCCGCAGCATCCGACAAGGGAGAGTATTGTGCGATAGAAGTATGTACATCATGAAATCGGTGCAGAGCAAGGTGCAGACAACGGCACGGAGTCTAGTTTCAGGATCCATGACTGCACTACAAGCTCAAACCTCCCTCAAACTTTCAAAAAGGTACCCAGATTCCAAAGTGGCAACGACGCTCCTCCCAAAGTACAGTACCAGGACTCTGCTTAATGCCACGTCCATGTCAAATCCAAAAATGAGCGCGAAGAAAACCCTGTAAAGAAAGCAAAAAAATTAGCGTACATCGTATGGGTCGATGTGACCAATTTCATACAGCCCAAGCTGCATGGACACGGCTTCTTTTGGTGCGACTGCTACACTGCTCCGCACCCGACTATACTTTGTTCTCGCGATGTTGCTGTTCGTGGGAGTACATGGGACCAGGGCTCCAGCCACTGCCAAACGCCAGTGTTGCGAAAGATAGATACACGGGCAGGATTCGAACCCTGCAGACCTAATTTACCGGGAGAGTGCTCAGCGAGATAAGCTGCAGGGATCGGGCACACATACACGCTCATATAATCGCACACACACGTGCACTTCCTCACTGCCAAAACGGGTCTCGTGGATCTCCCCCGGAGAAGGGAGAAAGACTTAAAAGGAATATAGGAAAGATGAATCAATTGGCCATTGAACTGCCCAACTGCTGCACCCTGCTGAACCCCCCAAACCTTAGGTGGACTTGGAAAGAATTCCACTTAACCGCTCGCCACATTTCAGTGAGTGGTCGAGGACAAAGTGCACAAAAAGGATTTACAGAAGCAGGGTGTCCGTCCCTGGATCCAAATGCGTTCACCCTTTCCCCAGTGATAATACTTGCTACTAGTGTGGGTGGCTAAATCAGAGAGTGGATCTGATATAGCTGTCACTAGCATCATGATTACACAAGAGTCAATCCAGCCCAAACAGTCCATGGTATGTAGACTTCAAATAGAAAGCATATGTACCCTGAAATCAATGAAAACAAACACACACACACTCGTACAAACGCACACATGCACATATTTATGCAAACACCCACATGTACACGCACCCACATGCACACATACACACACACACATACACACACACATGATCCATCCTCCCTCGACTACTCTCCTCACGATCAGGCTTTCAACACTGATACAATCGTTACGAGTAACATCACGGAACAGCGTTTCGCGTCAATATTTCACATTATCAACCTTTGTCAGTGACCCATCAAAACGATGACCCAGTATCATCCAATTATAAGACCGGCGCAATAGCAGTTACCACGATATAAAATAATAAAATAAAATAATTCACGGTTCGCGTGAGACTCGGCTGGAAGCCAGGCTTTCCGCATCCGTAGGAATGCCACCACCGTTCAAGGATCAAGGCGCAGATGCAGCTCCTAAAGCGGTGGGAGGTGAGTAGATCTGCTCACTAGCAATTGGTCAAAGAACGAAAATCCCATTCACTGCATCCATGTTTTCCTCGTGCAAAAAAGAATTAGGGAAATTGATGTAAATTTTTTTTTGAGCCACATGCAGTTAAATATGCTCCTATAACTAGGTGATATTTGCAGAAATTTCCTTTTGTGTCCTATAGTTTGAGCATTTAATTCCTTTCTGTGTCGGTCAATACTCGGATTTTTTGCACCATTCCTACCACGTCAGTACTATGGAACCACGGAACAATCTTTTGCACACTAAAACCACCTTGGAGGAATAAGGTTTATTACGAGGGAGCTTGAAAGCTCATCGCCCTGTGCTATGCTTTTTGCATAGCTCATCATGCATGTTATTCGAACTGATAGCCGCGTCTTTGGGCTGATGTTAGGGAGGAGATGTATGCGTTAGAACTGTAGATGATTTCAGGTACTTAGTCCGTTTCATCGCAATTGTCGCTTATCTATCTCAACTAAGAACAGGAGTTATTTTATCGCTCTGTAAAATTTCCAATACGCATAGTGAAGAAGCATGATACAGGATTCCTGTCCGCCACAAGAAAAATAATTCAGCGATGGAATCTGATGAAGCAAGTCGAAGAAAGGAAGCAAGGTTACAAAAAAGTACAAAAGAAAACAGCGACGGAGCGCGTTCTTGCACTCACGCTTTAGTTTATCCTACTCTGGCTCTGTATCACTCGACCTGATGTCACTTGAGCTGACATTCGCTGGTGTGTATAGCTGCTGGCGTAGAGTATCTCTTGCTTTCTCCGCTTGGCGTATGGCAGCGATGGGAAAGGAACAGTCTTGGCTGTCACTTTGGCACTTGGAGGAAAGTGGGCAGCGTGACCCGTGTGTCACCACTGTGTGTTTCAACAATGTTTTCGAATCATGCACACATCCCTCTCCAGACAGCTATCATACGCTCTGCTGGATACGCTGACCACGACTCTTGTACTGCCGCTGTCAGGTCGGACAATGTCTTCTTTGCCACCATCTCGCCCACAGTTTGCAGGCTTGCAAAGAATGCCAGGTCGTTGCACTTGCAGTTCAAACGTGGCGACTGAGCTGGCTGGCCTCGCCGTGACTGTCACGCTCTCCAGGTCAGGATGTCGATTTCCCCTACTACAGCAAGGTTACAAAAAAGTACAAAAGAAAACAGCGACGGAGCGCGTTCTTGCACTCACGCTTTAGTTTATCCTACTCTGGCTCTGTATCACTCGACCTGATGTCACTTGAGCTGACATTCGCTGGTGTGTATAGCTGCTGGCGTAGAGTATCTCTTGCTTTCTCCGCTTGGCGTATGGCAGCGATGGGAAAGGAACAGTCTTGGCTGTCACTTTGGCACTTGGAGGAAAGTGGGCAGCGTGACCCGTGTGTCACCACTGTGTGTTTCAACAATGTTTTCGAATCATGCACACATCCCTCTCCAGACAGCTATCATACGCTCTGCTGGATACGCTGACCACGACTCTTGTACTGCCGCTGTCAGGTCGGACAATGTCTTCTTTGCCACCATCTCGCCCACAGTTTGCAGGCTTGCAAAGAATGCCAGGTCGTTGCACTTGCAGTTCAAACGTGGCGACTGAGCTGGCTGGCCTCGCAGTGACTGTCACGCTCTCCAGGTCAGGATGTCGATTTCCCCTACTACAGTTCCGGTCTTCGAGCTGCGCTTGGCTTTTCGCTGCAGTGAATGTGTGCATTCACTGCAGTGCATTCACTGCAGCGAAAAGTTCCCCACTTTCCCATCACAATCGTACGAATCGCGATGCCATTGGCGCTAGTCGCGATCGTTTTTTTCTTTCTGGTCTCCTTTGATCTTGCCATCACAACCTCCCAAACGAATGTGAGTTAGATATCGAGATCGGACTGGGTTTTACCTGTCAAAAGGTGTGTGGGAGATAAGCGACAATTGCGATGAAACGGACCAAGTAGAATGAAAGCCAGACACATAATCTGCCAGAAACTGTGTCGTGTCCGGGTCTGACTCATCTTCGCCATCGAACTCCCGGACGCCTGATCGAATCGGGACAAGACACTCTCGGTGGAAGCAAACATCTCGCCAAATGAAGCCCTATTTTTAACTGTCATTAAAGGTTGGTTCACATATCGCCGGTACGCGCCAGGAGTCACCAGCGGTGGGCTTCTTCAAACCTCTCCCGGCGCATTGCGATTGTGTGAACCAGAGCAGTCGTAACAAAATCATACGGTAAAATATCGTAAGGGACCGCCGGCAAAGTTGGACAGTGCCCAACTCTTGCGATCTGCCCTGGCGCCGATCCCGTACATTTTTACTAAAAGTGGTTTGTGAACCGTTCGCGCCGGTGATCGCCGGCTGCCAGGAGCCAGACTTTGGCAATTTATCAAACCAATACTTGTCCTAAATTTTCATAAATTGAAGCTAGAGAGGAGGTCCGTTCGCTATTCTTGTAGTCACTTCAAGGTGGCAAATACGTCAGCATACCAACCAGTCCTTCTCGGATGATCTGCTTGACCATTGGGCAATGTATGAGAAAAAATACAATTGAAACAAACAAAATAATTATATTATGATGGAAACATTGGCAAGTTCTTGTGACTTCATCAACGTAAGCAATCATAATTTCGACGAAATGGCTTACTAGGCTGCAATAAAATGTGTAGAAGTAGTTTCATGATCTCCAGTAAAAGGTAGCGCAAAGTGGCCATCACCGAAAGACCTTGAACTACTGAGGGAACAAAGAATTCAAGCTTCAATTGGCAAACCTGTCGTAGCATTTGGGCACATTCTGTACTACTTTGTGGTAGATTTAGGGTTGGTTCACATATCGCCGGTACGCGCCGGGAGTCACCGGCGGTGGGCTTCTTGCAACCTCTCCCGGCGCATTGCGATTGTGTGAACCAGTGCAGTCGTAACAAAATTATACGGTAAAATATCGCAAGAGACCGCCGGCAAAGTTGGACAGTGCCCAACTCTTGCGATCTGCCCTGGCGCCGATCC